CCAGCTGTTGGCTGACAACATCACTTCTGTATTACTTTTTGAGAGAAATCAAGGTGTTGACTTTGATCTACAGGGTGCTGAGTCTTATCCATTTGAAAAAACACCAAAAAGGCATCGGAACATCAACCAGTGTTCAGACAGAGATAGCACCAGGCACTCTAAGTGAAGAGTCCTCCACTCTCTACTAATATTTTACCTGTCACCTCAGAAAATCCAAAGCTGTTGACTTGTAGAGCACCCAGCTTTTCTTCGGATATTCGTATTAACAGCTAGACAAGTGCATACTACAGAAACATAGGAAAGGAAATCTCTTTGCAGATAAACGTTTGAAGGACATTTTCAGGTTAAACGGTGTTCATGCACTCTGTAGACTTATAACTGTGCATTTAATAAACTAAAAATGAGTAAGATAAATACAAAATAATCATTTATAACTGGAATTAAATCTTTAAAGCCCTTGCCAGTTGATACAGTTTAGCCAGCACTTTCTCTCTGTCTCCCAATTATAATTAAAAACATACATTACCTTAGTTTATCTTCATTAATTTGTTTTAAATTACAAGGAAAAACTTGAAGGAAAAGCTTGGCCATGAAATTCAAAACTCTTAAATGTCAATAAATAAAGGTTATAGCTATACCAAAGAAACTGCATATACACATATTACTTGCACTACTTTATTCTGCTAGAATTCTCCTTGGAATAAATGGAAAAACCCTTTTACGAGCCCAAACAGAAACTTACAAAATTTGCTCTTTGTTACTAAATGATGGCAGTAGTAGTAGTACTGAAGAATGACAAAGCATCTGCCTGGAATTTCTCAACAGTGTGCCTTTCTTTCAGTGAACATAAAAAGAATATCCTCGTCAATTAAGAGAGGAAAATAAGTGGCCTCACCACCTTCCAGAAGTAGCTCTTCTCCAGCAGTTTAGAAATTTCTCTTCAGATAAACCCACAGCCATTCAAATATAGCTGCAAACTAGCCCACATCACAACCAAGTACATATAAATGCCCCTGGGAATTTCAGCCAATATATGGAGAGCAGTTCACCTGTACTGTAGTACATAGCAAGTGTAAGCCATTTATTGGAATAGGAACGGATACTTCCCCAAATCAGAGGCAGTTTCACCATGCCACTGAGATCTGCGTGTTTCATCAATAATATCAGGAAATTTGATTTAAGGGTAAGGCTATACGTCCTTCACAATCCAATCCGAAAGGGTTTGCAAGACTCTCTATTTAAGATCGGTTCAGTCAGAAGGGAGCAGGGGGATCCCTACAATATTCAGCTGTGGAACGCTTTTCCAGAAAAGGTCTGCAAAAAAATTCCACTGATAACAGGATGTGCTCTGGCAGGATTCACCGTAACTTTTTGCTTTATCATCATTTTCCTCATCAACATGCTTACCCTTCTTCTGTGCTTCACCACATCTTACTCAGGAAATGATTCCATTTAGCTCAACAGGGCATTAACTTTGGAACTTTTGGATTTGCCTTTAATCACACAGCTTTTGCTGTGCTTGATAACATGTTTGGGATGCTTGGAAGTCTGATTTTAATACTATGTACTCAGGGTGATTAACGCATTTCAAGCATGTGCAAACTCATGTGTGTTCACACACATGTGCATACACACATGAGGTGAAATTTTCCAAGCCAAACACAAGACTGGAACATCCAGTTGGAATCATTTACAAATGAAAAAGATTTTCAAAATTTCAGGCAGCTTTGAAAACCTCAAGCTGCTGTACAAACAGATAAATGCTGTAGCTGGATAGATACATACCAGCTGAACATTTTTTGACAAAACTTACAATGAGTATCCAGTATCAATTTAAAAGTGGAGGAACTAGCACCCTATTGTAAAACACATTTCTACTCATACACACAATCTATTCAGTGATGTGTACACTAAGCTAAGATGAA